CGCCACCCCACCCCACCCCACCACCCCACCCCCGCATACACATGGCAGTCTCCTATGACGACGAGGATGCACTGACCAACATCATGGCTCCACAGGCGAGGGCCGTTGACGACGGCGACGTGGTCATGGTCGTCCGGACTGCTGGCGGAGTCGGCCGGGCGGTGCGGAGCTCCCAGGTTCTAACATCGTCGTCGCTGGCGCATGATTCGGGCGATGCGGCTGCTGCCCAGCGAAAGGAGGCGGCGCGGAACGAGGAAAATGGCGACGTGATGCTTGATGATGCGGTTGTCACCGGTCCGGCCCTCCCCAAGCCCAGATCGACGCTCGGGAGGCACGTGACCGAGTCGCTGATGACCCTCACTATCGAGGTTTTCGATCGCCATCCCGTCACCGGAGTCGAGGCGCTCTTCATCTCGCGCAAGCTGCAAGAGGTCGACCCCTTGTGGACCGTCAATCAGCTGGCAGATGTCATCAACGAGTCCATCCTCCACTCGGACCCTACCAAGACGCCCGAACAGGGATGGGCTGTCTTTCGCCCTGGGACGCCGAGGACGACGGCCTCGGCCGTGCAGAGAATGTTGCCAAGCACCTCGACATCGACTTTGTCGCAAAGTACCTACAGGGCCCGCGGACACTCAAGTTTTACTCCATCAAGACCCGCTCACGCTTGCACTACAAGATGCGCCGCCGTGCTGTCAAGTTCCACATCTTTGGCTCCTTACGCACCGTCCTCATCGATGAGTCGTGGCGCGTCTACCGCATCGTCAAGGAAATCGGCTCCGTCCTCGGCCTCCGCGCCCCTGACGAGTACTCGCTCAAGGTCGAGGACGACCCGCACCACCCCGAAAAGCACTGGCTTCGCGGCGCGCAGACCCTGCCGGAGCAGCGCATTCCGCTCGATGTCACCTGGGACTCGGCCGGCGAAGAGGTGCCGCCGCCAGTCCTCCACTTTAAGAAGAAGCTCTTCTTCAAGCACACGCCCAACTTTGATCCAACCAACCCCGAGGCCATGTTCATCTACTACCAGCAGTGTACAGCCATGGTCCTCTCGTGCGAGCTCTACACCTCGCGAACCGAGGCTGTCCTCTTTGCTGCCCTCCAGCTCCTCATCCGCGACTCGGGCTACAACCCGCAGTTGCACGACCTCCCGGGCTTTGTCAAGCGCTGGTCTGACTGCTGCCCCGCCCACGTCATCCCATCCAAGGCCAAGGCCAAGAGCCGGCTAGAAGACGCGGTCCGCTCTACCATGCACCGATTCAAGGCCTACTCGCGCGAGCAACTCATCGTCAAGTACGTTAAGCTCTGCCGCGCATCCAAGTTCTTCGGCTGGGCCAACTGGCCCATCAAAGAGCAGGTCCGCTCCGGCCGCAAGTATCGCTTTGTTGCCCGTGTCCTCTCCATCTCGGGCAAGGGCGTGCGCTTGCTTGATCCGGCCAAGCACAACGACGTCGTCGTCAGTCATCCATGGACAGAGGTCGTCGCTGTCGGCGGCATCACCATCAACCGCGGCTTTGGCCTCATGTTTGACTTTTCCCGCGGCAACGCTCTCCGCATCCAGGTCCAGATGGAGGACCAGACCGCGCTCACCGAGGCCTCGCAGTATGTTGCAGACTACATGCGCATGATGGTCCTCCTCGAGCGCAACAAGAAGAAGCGCCTGGCTCAGGCCCGTGACGATGTTTGGGGCCCGCTTGCGGTCGGCTTCCAGATGCCTCCAGCTCACCAGCGCTCCGGCCGCATCCCGGCCTGCTCTGCGGGCGCAAAGTCGGTCGTCGCCTCGATGCAGCTCGCCATGCTCGACGACGAGGCGCCGGCCTCCGCTGGCGGTGCCATTGTCCCTGACATTCCTAAGCAAAACGTGCCCATCGTCGACCACGAGACCGATGAGACTGCCGCCGTCGGCGCCGTCTCTACCGTTGCCTCGACTCTCAACAAGTCGGCCGCCGCAAGCAGGGATCTCCACACTACCGTCATTATGGACGACGACGACATCGCAACCAAGACGACCCATGACAAGTCGTGGGATGTCATTGCCCTCGACTCGGACGACGACAACGAGATATCCAAGCTCCTTGCTCAGGCCGATGCCCAAGACAACGTTGCCGTCCTCTCGGCCTCGCTCGCCGTCTCGACCAACGAGCTCCTCCATGCGTCGGCGCTCGACGACCCGCTTATGATCGACCCGTCTGCCCTACTCGCCGCAGCCCAAGGCCTGGCCGACATGCTCGCCTCGCTGACCGAGGCCACTGCCACAGCAGCCGGTGTTGCCGCCTCCCCCGAGACCGCGCACGCCCTCGCTGAGGCCCACAAGTCGGTCCAGTCCTCAACCGCAGGCCTGGTTGCGGCCGCCACTGATGTTGCGGCTGCCGCCGTGGACCACCACGCCAAACTCGCCACCTGCAAGTCGGATGATCCCAAGGAAGATCTCATGGCCCTGTACGAGATCACCGACTCGGACTCAGGCTCGGACTCAGACTCGAACGACTCGGAGGATGGTACTCAGGAGGGGAACGCGACTGCCGCAGGCGCGAGCGACGGTCTCCGCTCTCGCGAAGCCAAGCTCAAGGCTGCCACCGCCATCGACATCTCCAGCCTCATGGCCGCCGCATCCCAGGTCGGCAGCTCGGTCTCGGGCCTGCTGGCCACCTCGGGCGTCGCTACCTCGACCGAGCGCCAAGTTGAACGCCTCGGTCGCATGGCAGAAGCCGTCACCGAGGCTGCGCTCGACCTCACCGACGCCTGCATCAACTTTTTCCCGGATGAGCTGCCGCTCACCGAGGCCGCCATTCTCGAGCGCCGCCTCTGCTCGCTCGGCCGTTTGGTCGCCAGTACGAGTCGATGGTCCGCGCCTCGGCGCCTAACATCAAGGTGCCGGACGTCCACAACTCGCTGCTGGTCAAGGGTGCCCAGTTGCTGGAAATGATGCGCATTGCAACTGGAGCCATCCCGGCTCACTATGCTGCCAAGTTTGAGCTCGGCCTCACCGCCTATGAGGCCATGGCCACCCTCTACACCACCCTCGAGCACATCAACGACCGACCTGACTTCCACGATGACTACGCGCGCGTTTTGCAAGAGCTCCGCTACCACCTCAATTTGCTCAAGGATCGTACTGTTGCCCAAGACGCCACCCGCCTTGACATGTACGTCACCTACATTGGCGAGCTCGCTACCGAGCTCGGTACCATCATCGAGACTGAGGCCGAGGCCTGTGACGTTAATGGCTCATGGGCCGCCCTCGAGGCCGAGGCTGGCGACTTTGCTCGTGCCGTCCTCGCCCTTCAGGACATCGCTGCGAGCGTGGGCGAGAACCCCGACACCTCCGGCATTGCACGCCTCAAGACCGAGACCTGTGATGTGCTCGACGCGCTCGACTCGATCCACGTCTCACGGGCGCACTTGTTTGTGATTGAGGACGTTCTCGACGCATCTGCACTGGTCCTCGGCCACATGCGTAGTGTTCTTGACGCCGCCACCGATCTGCCGCTTCTCGCCTCTGATGATGGCGAGCGGATGCTGTTCGAGGCCAACCGTGCCATCGACCGCCTCTCGACCACCATGCGCATTTACTCGGTCAATCCGAGCAATGTCAGGCACCAGGACATAGCCATGCAGGCTGCGCGCAAGGCCGTCCGCAAATTTGGTGCACTCCTCGATGGCATCCTCGTTCCGCTCGGCGCCGCCATCGCCGAGGGCTCCAAGCTCTCAGCATCCGACGACGGAGCGCTTCTTGCTGCCGAAGTTGCCCACGGCTCACTCGCCCAGCTCAAAGAGGCGCTCTCCGTCGCCGCCATCGACTGCTGGCCGCTTGATGTCAACTCTGCTATCCAGGTCATCCACAACGAGATCCAGGCCATCAACGCCGCGCTAGACAAGGTCGCCGATCCGAGCGTCGGGCTCAACCCTGCCCCCGGTGACCATCATTCGGAGTTTGAGTGGCAGGCCGAGCTGCTCCGCTCGGTCCGCTCCATCCCCAAGGAGGTTACCGACATTCGCGACACCGCCATGACGCTGACTCCGGCCGAGTTTGCGCTCGACTGCAAAGACGTCGCCGCCGAGGTCACCATCCTCGCTGAGGCCTCCATCGGCATGGCCTCGTATTCGACCACCCGTCAGGCACAGTACTCGCTACTCACCGCCGCCCGTGCCTTTTGCACCGACGCCATCGAGCTCATCGAGTGCGCCCAGACCGTTGTCCGCGAAGGCAATGACCCGTACGGGTCCGAAACTGCAGTGGCTGCTGCGCTCGCCCTTGTCCTTTCCGCCCTCGACGAGCTCATGCTCTGCATTCCAGGCATTGGCGACACTCGCCGCCTCGTCCGCAAGCTGGAGGGCGAGGCAACTGAAGTCTCTTCCCAGATCCGCCTGGCGTCGCAGCCCAAGGTGGCCCAGTTTGGCGACCTCGCTTCGGCGGCGTCGGACCTCGCCTCGGCACTCGCCGCGCTGGCGGACATTCCGGCAGCAGCTCCGTCACCGCTCACCGGCCTTCAGGCGAGCACGTCCTCGTCGGGCCGCCGCGGATCAATCATGGCCACATCGGGACTGGCTGCACTGGCGGGCGAGTCGAGCACGTCTGTCCAAAAGGCCGACACCTCGCCGCTGGCCATGATGGAGCAGGAAGTGTCTGCCGCTGGCCGAACACTCGCGGCGTTGGTCTCATCGCTCGACCGCGCGGCGCTGGCCTCACCGTCGGCGCTGGCCCACGCTGTCTCCCGAGTCAGTGCCATGGCCGACGTTATCTACCGCGCCGCCGCGGCATCGGTCGCCACTCCTGAGCTCGCCGACAGCGCTCAGTCCATCAATGCTCCACTGCTCTCGCTGCTGCAGTCGACGCTCGTCGCGCTTCGCGACGCTGCTGACATTGCTGTCGATCCGACCGACGATGAAGCTCGCGCTCGCTTCCGGCAGAACGACGTTGCTGGCTCCATCGCCACCCTTCACATGACGTACAAGGAGCTAGCGGCACCGAATCCAGAGGCGCAGTCGAAGGAGCTCGACAAGGCGCGGACCATGATTGACGGCGCCTTGGCAAAGCTGGCTTCCTACAAGGACGATTGTTCTGGCGGCAACGAGCTAGCTTCTGTCGACGACAGCGAACAGGACGTTCCTGTGGCCCAGGCCGCGCTGGAGCTGCAGGATCGAGTGCTGGCTTCGACTGCCGAGCTTCAAACGGCGTCACAGGCTCTGGCCAATGTGGCCGAGGTCTCGCCTGATGACTACGCCTCGGCCGTCTCGCGTGTCGGCCTCCTCACCACCAAGACCATCAACTGTGTGCTGGCCACGGCGCAGCATCTCAAAAGCAGCGTGGCAGCCAAGGCGGCAGCCAGCGCGGCAAAGCATGCTGTCATCTTTGGTGCCAAAGTGGTGGAGAAGGACGTGGCGCTGGTGGCCCAGGCGTTGTCTGGGCTCTCGGGCGTCGACCCGCACAAGGGCGCGCTACTCACCCGCGAGACCCAGCACCTGACCGCGGCGACACATGATTTGCTCATCCACAACAAGCGCGTCTTACGCAAGCTCCCTCTTCAGGACAAAGCCAAGCGACAGCGGGTCCAGCGATGGGGAGCTTCGCTCAAGGCCGCCGAGCGTGCAGTGCGGCGGGCGTCCAAGGTGCTGCGGCTCTCTCCAGACTCGGACCGGGCCAACGAGGCGCTCAACGTGCGGGTCGCCGAGTTTTCGGCCGCGCTCGCCGACTATGTCGAGTACATGGGTGTTCTCGAGCTGGCCGAGTACGACCACGCTGCGGCGGTGGTCGCCAACATCAAAGATGCGCTCATCGACGAGACCATCGAGGTCGCGAACCTGCAGACCTCGCTGCTGGTCACGTCGCAGCTGGTAGTGGCCAACCCGACCCACGCAGCCGCGCACCGCAACATGACTGCAGCGCTCGGTGAGTCGGTGCGGGCGCTTCAATCGCTGCACGAGACGGCCGCGCTTGTCTCGCCGGGCCAGAAGGAGTGCGTCTTTGCGATCGATCACGTCGAAAAGTGCGCCCAGCACATGCAGCGGTTCCTGGCGCAGTTTGCCCGCGACGCGCTCCCACCGTCAACGACCTCGAACTATGGCAAGTGCCTCGACCGCCTGCTGGCCCACCTCAACGTGCTCGAGGCCGCGGCATCCGAGCTGGCCACACAGGCGACGAGCTCGGCAGAGGGTCTCGGTGCCGCGGCGCTGCACTTTGCCGAGCTCGCGGATCCGCTGCGGGTCCTGTCCCTCGACGCTGCAGTAACGTGCGGCTCGGCCGAGCTCGGCCTTCGGATTTTGCGCGAAGCGCGCGACATCCCACTGCAGGCGGTGCCGTTTGTCAAGGCCTGCCAGACATGCCGTGGAGGCGCGGTGCCGGCTGACGTGGCCGACGAAGCCACACCAGCGGCACTGCTTCACCTGTTCCAGGTCGAAATTCATGAGCTGCGGGAGGTGCTGGAAGCCGATCGCGCCGAGCGGCACTCGCTGGCCACACTGCGGGCGTTGGTGGAAGCGTCGAATGCCAAGCTGGCAGCCGCTGCTACCACCAGGCATGATGGCGAGCGGCCACGTGGACCGCGACTGACATACGGCAAGTACGTGGCCCGGATCAAGGCCGCCTTTGCAGACTTTCTTGTGGTCATCAAGAAACTGGTGACCATGGCAAACGCGCACGCCAAGCGCGATGCGGTGCTCGAGGACGAGGAGTTGGCTGTGTTTGGAGTCCACGCAGCGGCCCTGGGCAAGGTCTTCCCACCCATTGTGGATGAGGTCGCGGGTTGCATTGCCGTGACCAGCGACAAGAAGCTCCAGGACGTGTTGGCTCAGGCCGGCGCAGATGTTGGCACCCAGCTCCTCGCCTTTGTTGATGAACTGATGGCGCTGCAGGCCCGCGACGTCGAGGCAAGTGCAGTTGTGAGCGCCTCTTCGGGAGTTTCAATTGCACTGGCACGCTTGCTCCAAACCGTTGGCCGCGGTGAGACCCCGAAGCGGGTGTTTGAGTCAGCCTGTTCCGAGATGGCGGCGGCGACGAGCTCGCTGCGAACAGCAACCTACATCCTCAACGCGGTCGATCAAGACGAAGTCGGTGAGGCCGAGAGCCTCGAGAGCGGAGACCGCGGCGGTGCCGACGAGCAGCCGGCAACGTTTGGTGAGTGCATGGTCGAGGTGGCTGCGCGACTCCGCGAGTCGCGAGGCCAGGTGGCGACAGCGCTTGCAGCCAACAAGATCGACGACGAGAGCGCGGCTGTGGTGGCGCGCGAGGTTGCACGCCGCCACGAGGCGACCATGGCCACGCTCAGCTTTTCGCTATTGCTCCTTACCTCGGTCGCTGAGCGCAATCGGGTGGCCGAGGTGGGAACTGACGCGGCGAAGGCGCTTGAAATGGCGCTGCAGCTATTGGGGAGCAAGAACCACGCTGCGGGCGCGAGCAAGGCGCTGGCGGCGGTCGACAAGGCATTGGGAGCAGTGGAAAAGGCGGCGGACGAGTGCGGACACGCCGAGGCTCAGGCCCGCGACGAAGTGGTGGCGATGGCAGCCGAAGTGGCCGCAATCCGAAGCGATGCCGTCAAGCTGGCAAGCGGGTACGCGAGTGGCAGCTCTCAGGTCTATCTTGTGCAGGTGGTCGACGCGCTCAAGTTTGGGCGGCATCTGGTGCAGAAGCTGCTGTACGAGTCGGAAGCGCTTGTCTGCAAGCCACTCAAGCTTGTGGGCGAGGTCCGCAGAGTCGTTCGCAACTACGCCGAGACGGTGACCACGCTTGGCGAGGCGCAGTGCTGGCTAGCGTCTGACGAGCACGCGACGGCTGTTGCTGATGCCTTGACTGTGCTGGGTGGGGCGGTGGAGGGAGTAGTCGGCAAGGTGTTTGACGGTGACGAGGTGCGGTCGCGGATGGCGACAGCGCATGCGACATCGGCAACGCTGGCGATGCGGGCGCTGACGACCACCCAGTATGGACCAGTGCGGCTTGCGGCCGACGAGGCGATCGCAGCCGCCGCCGCAGTTTCCAAGCGAGCCAGCATGGCTGGCGGCGAGAGCGGTCTCGCCGGCGGAGACTCGGACGCAGTCTTTGCGGCTGAGTTACAGGCGCTCGTCGATGAGATGGAAAAGGGCAAAGTGGTCCTTGCCAAGATCCACCTTGCTGGTGACGGCGGGACTGAGGTTGATGTGGAGCGGGAGAACTTCAAGTCGATTGCGCTGCGGTGCTGTGGTGAGATGGCCGATGCATGTGTGACGCTCGCGCGGGTGGTGGTTATTGCGTTGGAGGAGACGATGCCGTCCGACGAAGAGCGCGAGGAGCTACTCATTGCGCTTTATGCGGTGAGCGCGGCAGTGACCCAAATGACCACAGCCATGGTGCTGTTTAGCGAGGGCGCACCGGCCAAGGCGCTCAGCAGGGCGGTTTCGGTTGTGTCCGAGGCGGTGATGTCGTTGGTGGCCGACGCGCTCCGTGAGCGGACCCAGTCTGCAGCCGCAGGCTCGGTCCGCAAGGCGGCATCAATGGTGGGCTCGGCGTGTGCCACGCTCTTGCAGGCAGTCGAGGTCTACACCACGCCGGCGAGCAAGATGGTGCGGGAGGATGTCAGCAACGCAAGCGGAGGCGCCAGCGGCGGTCTCGCACTCGCCGGCGCCACCTCGGCCGAGGCCGCAAACGTCTCGGAGATGATCCGCCGCAAGGCCGAAATCGAGCGGCTCCAGCGTGATATCCAGACGCTGAAAGAGAACAAGGTGCGGCGGCGGGCTGCCGCAGCCGGAGCGCGATGAGAAGGCGAGTAAATGGCGAGCTACCGCGAAGAAGGCGGCCACAGCGTGCACCACGTGTCTTGCCCGTGGCCGCCAGGACAGAATGGGGCGATCGCGGCGTGGGCGGAGCGGGGTCAAACCCAAACGAGCGAGATGGTCAGTGTGGCGGTACATGGCTGTGATCCGGAGTCTACTTGCGGTTGTACTGGCATACACGGCGTGGCGCGGACTGCAGCGTGCCGGATGGACGTGGGGCGTGTCGTCCTTTCACCCGCGAACGGTGGGCTCCTGCGACGGATGTCCGGGTGGAAGCGGAGCCGGGAGCGAGAAGCGGGCAGGCGAGGCGTGCGGCGGCATGCTATGCGCGGTGGTGAACATGCTGACATGGCGCATGAGCTCGTGTCCTTCTCGGTTGGCCCTCTCGCCGAGCACCATGGCCTCGGTGGTGGCCGGCGAGATGCTGATGCTGCTGGCGGCGGCGGCGACGGCCGGGTGGGCGGCGGTGCGGGGAAGCCAGGAGGCGCTGATGGGCAAGGTCGAGCGGTGGTCCTGGGGCCTGGCTGGCCTGGCCATGGCCTGGCTGTTGGTCCAGGACGTGGCCATGTACAACAACCATGAGTACCTGTACGCACTCCTCGCCGTTGTCTTTGCCCTTGGCGGCGACAGCGAGATGGCGGCCGAGGCCGAGGCTCTCGCCATCGCTGCCCTCTGCGCCACTGTTTACGGCTGGGCCGGCCTGATCAAGGCCACCACGCCTGAGTGGCGGGAGGAGGTCCTGGCCGCCCAGCTGATCATGAGCCCGGACGTACTGGTGCCGCTGCGGACGGTGCTGGTGCCGTCGGTGGCTGTGACGGCCGGCGTCGCCTGGGGAGGCCTCCTACTGGATCTGGTGTGGGCGCCGGGCCTCGCGGTGCTGTTTATGGCCTCGCGATGGAGCGAGCCTGCCGCAAAGGTGCTGAGTTGCGGGCGATGGGCGGGCTGGACGGTGGCGTCGCTGCCGATCGTCGGCTTCCACGTGGTGAACAAGCTGACGCTGCCGATCGGCGAGTTTCCGCTGACGATGGTCATCCTGCACGCGGTGCAGCTTGCGCCACGACCGCCACGACCGCTGCAGCTGGGCGAGCGCCTGCGCGGACGGGCAGCTGTGCTGGTGGCGCTGTTGGTGGTCGTCAACGTGGTGGCGGGCATACAGCAGTCTCGGGCGGACTTTTGGCGGCGGGAGGAGACTCGGTTCGGGTGGATGATGATGATGCGCGCGACGTCGCGGCCGTACTTGGAGCTGGGATGGGAGGACGTTGAGACGGGCCAGCGATGGCGACACGACCCGGTTGCGAGGGAGTGGACGACGTTGCGACAAGCTCGCAAAATGGCGTTTGACCCGGCGATACTGCGAGCGTATGCGGTTTACGCTGAGGCCGAGATGGCGGCGCGAAGCGGGCGGCGCGTGCGGCTGGTGGTCCTCGAGTCGTGGGCGGGCGTCAACGGCTCCCCGCTGCAGCGCTTCTACTCACACAGGGGCCGACCAGTGCTCAAAGTGCCGAGAGACGACTTTGTGTCGCAAGCGATTAGTGCGTACGACAACAGTGAGAGCCGGGGCATGATGCTGGGAGCGTTGCGCGCGGCTATGCTGCGCCAAGCCGGCAAGCCGGTCTTTGTGGCGCTGGAGGCCGGCGACGGGCCGCGAGTGGTGAGGTTTTCAGTTGACTGGGCCGGCGAGGACTGGTCGAGTGGGGCGGATGTGCTGCAGGCCTGCGGTCGGGATGGCGTGGCCTGGATAGGCGGCGCGCGGGTGGGCAGCGGCGAGTGTGTTGCGCTGGCAATGGAGTTGCCGCTGGAGTTGTGGGCGGAGAGCAAGTCGGCGTTGGTCGAGTTTGGGTGCGGCACGACGTGGCTCAACTTTGAGCCTGTGGTGATCGACAGCACGACTGGGTTTGAGCTCGATGCGAACGATGCCGAGCTACTCGCCGCCGTAAAGGATTGAGCGTGAGGAGAGGCGATGCGAGAGTGGGTCGGCGCGGGTGAGGGCGGCAGCCGCGGACGAGGCTGCCGACGCTGCCGCAGCGCGCTGGCGAGCCTTGAGCGGCGAGACCGGCGGCTGGCGGAGGAGCCACGTGGTGCGGGCGCGGTTGAGGTCGTCAGCGACCACCGAGGTGCGGACCGGGAGCGACGGCGCCGAGCCGGAGAGCAGCCGATGGCTGAGGGTGGCATGAGAGGTCAGCGTGCGGCGCGGCTTGTCCGAGACAATCGACGCGGCCAGCGAGGTAGCGCGGGCAGCGTCCCTCAGCGATTTCCCACCTTGCCGCCGCTCACGAGCCTCTAGCGTCACCTGGGCCTCCTCCAGCGGGGTTAGGCGGGCATGGACGACCTGGAGCGAGGCCGGTAGCGATCTGCGCGCCGGCGGCGACGAGAGAGCAACGCGGGTAGCAGGCGATGGGCGGCGGGGCAGCTGCTTGCCCTGCGACAGCGGCCCACTAGATGAGGCCGGAGCCGACGCATAGGCGGCGGAGTGGTGGTTTGCGACGAGACTCGGGGCGACGACCGACGGCAGATCGGCCAGTGGAGTGTGGGCGAGGGCAGCCGCGGCGGCGGCCGCGGAAGCCTTGGCCTTGTCGGCATGGAGCGAGTGCGAGACAGCAGCAGTGAGCGATCCAAATGGCGGAGGACAACGATGTGCCGGAATGACGAGCGGGGCAGTGAGCGGGCGCAGCGGGCGCGGCGGGAGCGATGACGGCGGCGGGCGGCGGGCTGCGGCGGTGGACGGGAGGGCGGACGGAGCACGGGTGGCGGCACTGGCACTGCGACCGAGGCCAGACGGTGGGTGGAGGGTGAGTGCTGATGGAGGTCGCCGGTGCCCGAGTGGGCGGGTGGCGGAGATGTGCATGGTGATGGGGGTGGGGTGTGGCTATGGGGGGAGGCGTGGCGGTGGCGGTGGCGGTGGCGGTGGCGGTGGCGGTGGCGCCAACGGCGAATTGCCTGCGCGGACGGACAGGCCGGCGGGCGGCGGAGGAGGGGAGGGTTCCGGTTTTTAAAGGCGCATGCGGGCAAGGAGAATCTGGATTTGGGCCTTGTAGATCCACGGCTGGCCCTCGCCGCGGGTAAACTTGATGCCGAGGAGCGACATGCGGCGGAGGCGGCAGATCTCGATGGTAAAGCTGAGGTCGTCTTGGTCGGCGAGGGCTAGCTTGCAGTCGTAGACATAGTTGGAGAGGGTAAAGTCGACGGCGCAGTCCTCAAGGGCATCGGCAATGCATGCACAGGTGTCCTTGAGCGAGCGGGTTGTCGTTGTCTCGACCGAGAACGGCCCGCGGACGGCACGGAGCTCGGGCATGTTGGGCGAGGTCGGGGTGCCCTCGCCCAAGGCGGCCGCCTGTTCGGCAGCGCGGCGCTCGGCCATTGCTTCCCATCGCCCGGGCGCAGTGAGCATTCCTTTGGGCGCGCCAGTCGAGCGCGCGTATTCGAGAACGCGTGGCGAGAGCGAGAGCTGGAGCTGGGCGTCGACGGCGGTGTCGACCGGAGGTGTGGGTGTGGCCGACGTTGGCCGGCTCGTCTTGCCGCCAGACGGTTGGTCGCCGGACGGCGGCGGCGAGGCCGCTACCACAGAATCAGCCGGTGGCGACTGGGCCTCGGCCGCTTTCGGCATGTACCGCACCGTGTTGGAAGGTCGCCCTCGGAGTCTTCAGACTTGTTGAGCGGCGCGAAGCGGACAGCGGACCAGTCGATGGACGAGACCGAGTTCTCGAATGAGGAGGCCGAGATGGCGCGGGCGCGGGTACGAGTACCTGCGGCGCGGATGTTCGCAACGGCGATGCTGGGCGGAGGATGGGGAGCGACGGCCTCCGAGATCGGCGTCAGGCTCGATACCGGGCTCATGGTTTTGGGTGAGCGCGAGCGCGACGACGAGACCGACAAGGTCGACGGCGGCGGGTTGTGCGGGAACGCCGTGCTGGCTGGCGTGGGGCGTCGGGCAGCGCGGGCCTGGGCGCGGACCTGCTTGCGGACCCGAATGCGGGTCCGGCGCTTGACATGCTTTTTGTGCTTGCCGGTCTTGCCCGGTGTCGCGACCGGTGAGTCGAGCTCGCGGCCGCACGACGGCGAGCCCGACGACGACGACTTGGTCCGTGAGCGCGATGCAGCGGCCGGCCGGGTCTTGTCGAGGTCAAGACGCGGAAGTGCTGGAAGGGTGGGCGTCGTCGCGCTCACCGCCGACGCAGTGGCGGCTGACGCGTCTTTGGCTACCGAGTCCGAGTCGGAGGCGTTGGAGCCGGCCGACGCAACCGAAGTGACGGATGCCACCGAGCCGAGCGTGGTCGACGACGAGAATCTCGAGTGCGAGCGGGTGGCCGAGACAGAGCGTCGGCGCGAGCCCGAACCCGAGCCGGAGGTTGAAAAGGTGCGGACGCGAACGTGCGACGATGACGAGCCGTACGATGAGTACGAGTTGCACGAGGCCGTGCTAGGACCAGAGCCAGAGCCAGAGCCATAGCCATGAAGCGAGCCGAGCTCCGCGTCGCGAGCAGCGGCGGCCGCGTTGGCGGCAGCGCGGCGCTCGCAAGCGAGATGATAGACGGCGGCGTGGAGGCACGGCTCGTTGTGGAGAAGGGCATGAGTGACCTCGAGGGTGGAAAAGCCGTAGCCGGCAAGCTCGACGAGGATTGAGTGCTCGGGGGCGACGACAGGCTCGCGGTGCGGAAGATGGGTGTCCGGCGGACCGGAGTAGCCCTCGAGAATCCACGGGTGGTTGGCGATTTCGTCGAGCGAGAAGCGCTGGGTCGGGTCGACAGTGAGCATGCCGGCGATGAGGGCGTTGACCCCGTCCGAGAGCTGCGGCGGCTGGTAGAACTCGCCCTTGCGGATGAGCGAGTAGAGGGTGGCCACGTCTGGGTGGTCAAAGGGAAGTGAGCCGGTGACCATAGCGTAGAGGGTGACGCCCATGGCCCAAATGTCGACGTGCGGGCCAAGGTAGGGCTGGGCAGAGAGGAGCTCCGGGGCGGCATATGCCGGCGTCCCGCACGCGGTCTCCAGGACCTCATGCGGGCGGAACTCGTTGACAAAGCCAAAGTCGACGAGCTTGACGTTGACCTCGTCGTCGAGCAGAAGGTTCTCGAGCTTAATGTCGCGATGGGTGAGATAGTTGCCGTGGCAGTAGGCGACAGCCGAGACGAGCTGGCGGAAGAGGCGGCGGGCCTCGGCCTCGCGAATGCGGCCGCGGGTGACGATGTAGTCAAAGAGCTCGCCACCAGAGACGTACTCCATCACCATGTACACGTGATCGACGGTGACTTGGACTTCGCGGAGCGAGGCAATGTGCGGGTGTGAGAGTAGGTTGAGCACCTTGGTCTCACGCGAGATGCGAACCGTCTCGGACTGGACCTGCGGGGTGAGGACCTTGACCGCCACCAGCTCGCCGGTTGTCGCCATCTTGGCGAGCTTGACGAGCGAGTACGAGCCGCGGCCGAGGGTGCGCAGAAACTGGTACTTGCGCGAGAGGATCCGCGGGGTGACGAGCCGCCGCGGCGAGGGCAGGTCCAGCGAGCGCGGCGAATGCATCGACGCCAGTTGCTGCGTCCGCGACCCAACGGTGTAGCCCGATGAGTCCGAGACAAAGGAGGAGAGCGACTCAAACGAGGCCTTGGCCCCGTCCGGCCGCGAGGCACTCCCGTCGCTGCCCCGGCCGCCGCCCTGCCCACTGTGCGCAGCCTGGATGCGGGCGAGATTCGCTGCGGTGAGCGCAAGGCGCGGAACCGGTGTCCGCTGACGAGCTGCCGGCGAGCGGATGCCAGTAGCAGTAGCAGCAGCAGAAGGAGGTTGTACGCCATGGGCATAGCAGGGCGACTGGCCATGGCCAACAGCGAGGCCGTGACCGTTTTGAGAAAGAGCGTAACCAGCCGGCGAGCCTTGCAGACGGGAGGCAGGCAAGAGCGAGGCGGAAGCATGTGCCGCGACCATATGAGGCTCCGCAGAGGCACCTGAGTGGTCCGAGGCCAAGGTAGCGACCGAAGGCGAGGCCGAGGACGAGCCGTGAGAAACCGCTGTTCCAGAGCCTGACGAGGCGACGAGGGCGTCGTCCGAGGCACCAATGGTGGAGGGAGCAGGGCTTGTGACCTCGTCTGTGGAGAAGGTCTCCCTTGTAGGCGACCATGTCATACCTTGTGTACTTCCAAAGCCCGAGCCACTTCCACCATCCCCTCCTCCTCCACTCCCTCCCCCAGCCGAGCTCACCGAGACCGACCGCAGCCTTCCCAAACTCTCACTTGCCGCGGCCGCATGAGCCTCACCACCACCACCACCACCACCACCACCACCACCACCACCACCTGCCCAACCTGCGGCTTCTGTCTCTATAGATGCCATTGTATCCCCCCTCACAAACACGCAAGGAAGAGACTCTAGCCTTTCCCCCAACTGTCCAACCTCGTCTCCTCCCCGTGGAGTTGACGCGGTGGCGTGTTGCACCCTCTCTGTCTTGTCCCTCCCCCCTCCGTCCCCCCCCCTCCTCCCCCCCCCTCCCTACCCGTTCACCGAACGAACGAATGACATGTCATTTCCTCGTGCGAACTGCTGGCACATACATCACCATACGAACAAACGTTGATGCAGTACCTTTGTGGTGATGGTCATGATGATGGTGGTGGTTGTGATCATGGTTGTTTGTATCTGGGTGGGTGGGGATATGGGGGAGGGGGGGGGGTGGGGTGGGAGGGGAGGGGGGGGAGGGGAGGGGAGGGGAGGGGAGGTACTCGTCTTCTGCTGGGTGTTGCTTGGGTAGAAGAGTTCACCATGGTATGTACCCATGTGTGTGTGTGTGTGTGTGTGTGTGTGTGTGTGTGTGTGTGTGTGTGTGTATGTGTGTGTGTGTATATGTGGCTGGGTATGGTGGAAGGTTCTGGTGGCGGGGAACGGCGGCGGCATGGGCCACGGGGTACAGGCAAAGCGACGGGGACGGGCTGGGGGCTAGGGACTGGGGACTGGGGACTGGGGACTGGGGACTGGAGCAAGGGCAGGGTGTAGGGGGCGGGGGTATGTACTGGACTTATGGTGGAGATGGGGCTGTGATGGGGCTGCGCTGCGCGGCGTGTGCTGCTGGCGTGGGCAGAGCATGTACATTCGGGTCAAGCACAAGAACGAGACCATGTTTGTGGAGACCGAGCCGACGCAGACGGTGGCGGATGTCAAGGCTCAGATCGAGATCATTACGGAGCAGCCGGCCGAGGATCAGCGGATCATCTTCAATGACGAGCCGGTGGAGGATGCCAAGACGCTCTCGGACGCCAACATCGAGAACGATGCCGTCGTCTACGTTGTGTACCGGCTGACCGGCTCGGACGACTTTGAGGAGGTCCAGCTCGAGTAAACCACGGGCTACAAGCCAACTCGCTTGCGGACGCGGACTCGCTTGGTGCGCGGCGAGCCCGAGAGACCGGCCGAGGCCGGGACGCCCGATGCAGTGGTGGAGGCCGCGGCCGCGCCCGTGGCGGAGCCCGGCACAAGATCGCCCGAGGCGTTTGACGTGGCCGGCGAGAGCGAGGTCGACGAGCCCGACTTGCCGACACCGTACAGACCGCGCAGCGCCTCCAATGGCTTGGCAAGCTCGGGCGGGACCGAGTACGGCTCGTCGGCTGCCGCCAGTGACGCCTCAAACTGCATAAACATACGTGCCGCCCGTGCCGTGTCGCCAAAGCGGTGACAGGTGATGGCGTAGTTGAGCGGAATGCGCAGAACATCGGCCTTGGTCTGCGCGTTCTGCTCAATCTTCCCCGCGAGTCCCATCGCCTTGTCGTAGGCGGTGCAGGCGTTGGCAAAGTCACCAAGCTTGGAGAGGGTAACGCCGAGGTACATAAAGCCGGCAGCCAGGTCCGGGTTGAGCCGGACAGCGGCGTTGAGAAAGTGGAACGCCGACGCCGGCTGTGCCTGTGCGAGGTGGACGATGCCGAGGTTGTAGTTGACAAGCCACTCAAACGGGGCTAGAAACAGCGCTCGCTTGAGGCATGAGATGGCTGCAACAGCCTTGCCCTTGCCGTAAAAGCACATGCCGATGTTGTTCCACAGCTGCGGCGCGTTGGGTGCGAGCTGCGCCACCGCCCGCAGCTTGGCCAGCGCCCCGTCGTAGTCGGCGTTGCACTGCATGACCGACGCCACCGCCAGGAGCGTGCCCACATCGCGCGGGTTGTGCGAGAGCGACTTGCCGAGCTGATTAAACGCCTGCATCTCGTCGTTGGCCGCCATGTGCAGCTCGCCGAGGCCCGTCAGCAGCTCCGGGTTCTCCGGCGAGAACTCGAGCGCCTCGGCCAGCAGCCGTCGCGCGCCCTCGGCATCGCCGCGGAGCTCGGCGAGCTTGGACAGCATCAGGTACGTGACGTCGTGGCGCTGAATGGCATTGGCCCGCTCAAACCCGTCTGCCGCCGCCTCAAGATCGCCAAGATACATATGGCAGAGACCCTTGTTGTGCCAGATCTCCCAATCGCCGCGCTCCTGCAGAGCCCTCGCCGCGCGCGAGACGCGGGCCCCAGGCGCCTTGCCCGCGGCCGCGCGCCGCTTCTCATCAGCCACATGCAGCTCGTGTGCCAGATCGTAGACCTCCAGTGCGGCAGCGTGTCTCCCGAGCAGGAACAGAGTACGGGCCTTCTGCTTGGCGTTGTCGGCCGAGGCCGGATTGAGTCTGCAAGCGGCATCAAACTGTGCCAGAGCGTCTGTCACCTTGCCCTGCGACCTCTGAATGAGGCCCTTGATGTAGTGGGCATACTCGGATGCTCCGCCTGTCGTCGCCAGCTGTTGGTCCACCAGAGCCACCGCCTCGTCGTGCTTGCCCTTGGTGTACAGGTCGTGGAGGAGCCAGTTGTACAGCACGCGGTGCTGATACTCATTGCCGGTGGCCATGGTCGCACCTCACGAGCAGTGCGTGTCGTGTCGTCGTCGTGGTGGTGGTGGTGGTGGTGGTGGTGGTGGTGGCGAGTGGTGGTGGCGAGTGGTGGTGGTGGTGGTGGTGGTGATGCTGCTGCTCCTGCTGCTCCCTGGCTGTTCGGTCGGTTGGCTGCTCATCACTCGCCAACTCGGCAGAGATACAGAGATGCAGAGTCTGGACCGATCACTCCTGCAACTCAGATCTCAGATCACACCGTTCTACATGGGTATGGAGGTGGTCCATGACAAATTCTACATTGTCCGTGCTGCGCGTTTTGCGCTGCCCCCCCCCTTCCCTCTGGTCCGCCGCCATTCCCCCATCCGCAGAGTCTTCGACGAGTCTGGCTCGTGGTCGGACCACAAGCGGACTGATCGACGACACCACCACCACGAGCATCACTCCCGCGGACAGCCATCGCTTTGCACATCTCTCTCACCATTGCACGTCTTACTGTTAGAAAGGATGTCGCGGATGACGGGCAAGGTGTGGAAGCAAGCCAAGGGGAAGCGCAAGTCTTGGTACATCGAGGATGATCACATGGCCGCCGAGCGACAGCAGCTTTGGCTGCAGGCACTCCACGAGGTCGAGGCAGCCGACAATGCCGCCATCGTCGACGCCATCTGGGCATGGTACAAGAAATCGTACCGTCGCAGGCGATCATGGGATGTTGCCATCACTACAGAGGGTCTGATCCGGTGCTATGTCGAGCGGCACGGCCCGGGCTTTGCGCGCTTCTTTGCCAGGCACGATGCGCTCGATCCCAACGCCTTTGGCCCGCAGTCGTCGTCCCAGAATGGCGTTCGGTTTGTGGAGCGCGGATCGCGCGAGTGGTTTGTCCGCCAGGCTGCGACAGGCGCGGCCAGGAGTGACATTGTCGCATCGGCCCTCCCAGTACTCACCATCAGCCTCAAATACGATCCGCACCAGATGGAGCTTCTTCTCCTCCTCGCTGCGTTGTATCGGCTGCGCATCGATGTTGTCAGCACCACCGTCCGGTCCTGGCTCCAGCCCTCGCACCACTCTCCCGGCTGCGAAGACTGCATCAACGTTGGCGGCGTGCCCCATGATCGCCGCACCACAACTCGCGCCGCCGTCCGCCTTCTCTTTACGCCGAGCACCTCGCTCCCGTCCGGCCCGCCAGCCTGCGCAAGCCTTGCCGCAGCCAAAACCGGCCGCATCTCCAAGCTCATGTTCCTCTCAGACTGCACCAACGCGATGCCGCACTGTTTGCGGCGTTCGCGCCGCAAGAAGAACCGACGCTTACAAGCCGTGGCAGCCCAACTGAGTGCCTCACCGCCCGCGCCGTGGACCACCTTGCCCAACGAGCTGTGGTCCATCATCATGCATAAGCTCGCCGCTGACGCGGTTGCGGACATTGTTGCGCTTTCGGCCACCTGCACCCGGCTGCTCAGCCTTGCTCGCGACCCGCTTCTCTGGCGCAGCATCGCTCGCCGTGTCGCAGACGCGTCACCGGCGGTCATGGCCGCCCTGGCCGAGGCAAGCGAGCCGGGCTGCGACTGGTACGCCTACTTTCAGGCCGCTATCCTTCCCGAGCTCCGCAGCTGCCTCTGCCCGGCTGCGACGACTGTGCCGCTGCTGCCCGGCCATGGCCACGGCTACATCTCGGTCCACACCCTTCAGAGTGAGCGAAGGACCCAGCACACCGGGTTTGCCAGGGTACAGCTCCGCGTCAAGCGCACGCTCCTGCGCCGGATGACCGACTCGGGCGTACTTGACCTGTCGTCTGACAATCGCTCCCGACCGACCGCTGCCTGGTCCGACGATCGTTGGATGTGGACGCCCGAGCTGCTGGGCGGCTCATTCGACAGGCCCAGCGCGATGCAGTGACAAGCGCGCGCACCTCACATGCCCAGCAAGCCCGAGCCATGCAGCGAGGCGCCATACGGCGTGTTCGAGAGCCCGCGCCACTGCAGCGAAAAGTCTTTGACAGCGCGACGGAACCGGCCTCGGACCCGCGCCGCCATCAGCGCCTTGAGGAACTTGTCCTGACTCGGGGCTGGCGTGCGGCGACGGGTAGTCGGCGGCAGAGCCAAACAGCTGCTGGAGCAGGGAGTTGACCTCGTACGGGAAGCGGAACGAGATGGCAAAGAGAAAGTCGGCGACCTTGGTGTCGAGCGACCGTGGCAGGCCGCCCGCAAAGGCCTCTATGGCAAACCGGACCAGCGGCTCGCCGTAGCTGGCAAACGCGTCTTGCATGGCCGCATTGGCGACGGCTGCGGTTGCGCCGCCCACTTCTTGCGAGAAGAACATGTCAAAGAAGCGGAGAACCGACGAGATCGCTGTTTTCTCCTGCGACGACAGCGCACGCATGCCAGTGAGAAACAGGTGGTTGAGAGAGTCCGATGCCACCACCGCCGCAGGCTCGTGCCGCAGCACTGCGGTGAGGAGCGAGAAGAAGCCGTAGACCAGGTCGGGCGCTGCGCTGATGGCAGAGTCTGAAGCCGAAAAGTGCGCCAGCGTCTGGGTCACAACCCCGTCGATCGTGCCCGGCAGGACGGCTCGCAGCGCGTCTGTCGACTTGTGGATGGCGACTGCGGTCTCGATGACATTGAGCAGCGGCGCCGCAGGCTGCACGATGTACGTCGACGTCATCAGCGAGAGCATGACGTCGAGATGCGGCGCAAAGGCCTTGGACGAGGCGCGGAGCACGTTGCCGCAAAACTGGGTAAGCGCCACTACCAGCTCCTCGTCGCGATGAGCTACCGTGGCTACGGCCTCGATGGCCGGCCATGCTCGCTCGACCACGCAAAGCAGCGGCGTCGACCGCCCGGGCACCGCGCTCCGGATATCCACAAATCGGCACGCTGCCGTCAGCAGCGACAGCGTAGCCGTGAGCGAGGTGAGGACATGCGCGGCCTCGACATTACCGTGCTCCAGCTCGGCCTCGAGCGCTTCGATCAGCGGCAGCGCGAGGACCTCCAGTGCACCCAGTGCCTCGCCAGGCTCGGCCTTGGCAATGACGTAGCCGAGAGCCTCTAGCGCAAGCAGCTGCGGCCGCAGCGGAAGCTTGTCCATGGCCCTCGTCAGTGACGACACCATGTTGCCCAGAATAGGCACTAGGTTGTCAGCCGACGACGAGCAGAGCTCGCGGAGGCATGACGCCGTCGTCGTACAGAGGCCCGGCTCGTCAAAGCCCGGCAAGATGAGCGCCATCGCGGTCGGCGCGAGGCCGCCAAACCGCCCAGCAAACGCACCCACAAGCTTGATGGCTGACTTGGCGACTCGGACGTGTGACGGGAGCGCCCCAAACTCGTTCAACACCGCCGCAAGGTAGCTGGGCGCCGAAAAGCCGCCCGTCGCCCCGGGCCCGGACGGCAAGAGCCCGGGCTCTGACGCCGACCGCCCTCGCGAGAACGCCGAGTTCTCTAGTGCCATCTTGGCGGCCTCGGCCTGCGACGCCAGCGAGAGCCGCCGCAGACTGCCCGAAGTCGCCGTCCGCGTCACGTCCTCGTACTCGTCCTCGCCCGGATCGACCGGAAGGTAGTCGGACGCCACTCGAATGGCAAACAGGGCGGTTTCGACCTCGCGCCAGGTCGTATTAGTGGTGTCGTGTTGAGCGTCGGCGATCCGCGCCCGCAGGTACGCCAGCGCCCCGGTAAAGTACTCGACAGGACCCAGCAGCTCGGCGCATGACTCAAAGAGCTCGGCGCAATCACGACGCACAAGCTGCCAGTAGTGTGTGTCAAATGAGTCGAGCCGCTCCCAGTCAAGCGAGAGCCGCGCCCGCGAAAAGGCATGCTCCAGAAGCTGGGCAAAGACCGGCACAAAGGCTTGGAGAGCCGCCGGCGCCGCCGACGACAGCCGCCGACCTGGATCGCTCTCCAGCTTGACTAGCTCGTGCGCAAGATCTGACCACGCCTGGATGGAGAGCTCCAGCGCTGACCGCTTTGGCGTCGCCACGCACACCATGAGGATGTCATACAGCACGCCCGCCGTCTTCAGCTCGCACTCGAGGAGCCACGGGAGCTCGCTGTCACAGAGAGCGGCCGCCAGCCGGCCCACGCCCTTGACATGCTCCCACTCGCCGCTCTGGTGGGCGGCCAGAACCTGATCGCGGAGATTCGCCACCGCCGAGGCCATGCCTGACAGCTCGGCGCGAAAGGCCTTGGCTAGCGGCAGTGAGAGCACAAGCTCAACAACGTCGACGGCCACGGCAAACAGCTCCGGCATGGTCAGCGCTGCAAATGCGTGCTGCAGCATCGCCGAGTGCAGAACGAGCTCGTGTGGAAGGTCGTACTCGATCCAGGCGTGGAGGCAGTAGAGGACTTTGCGCTGAAAAGCCGGGGCGCGCCGTCAGCAAGCAGCAGCGCCTCGAGGCAGTCGAGAACCTGCGGTGCTGCCGAGAGTAGCTCGTGACGGAGCTTGCTCCGCACCGCCTTTCGCACATTGGCTCGCTGGAACTCCTCCGGCAGAATTGTGAGGATCTGGACGAGCGACGTCGGAGTGTCGTCCAGCTCGCCTATCAGATACACCACCACACCCTCGAATCCGTCGAGCTCGCGGAGTAGGAGCCCGGCAAAGGCGATACAGAGCCGAGTGAGGACGTTGAGCGGACCAGCGTCAAACTTGCGAATGAGCTGGAACAGCATGCCCTGCAGCTGCGCTCGCGCATCCGGCTCCAGACCTAGCCACTCGTTGACGATCTTGGAGGCGAGCATCTTGGCGCCGAGAAAGCCCCACACCTCGTCGCCCAGCTGAAGCAGCTCCACTGCCAGCGACCATCCATCGGCCGAAGCCTGACACGCCAGCATATACTCTTGTGCCGCCTGTTGCTCCTCGGCCACCTCGGACGTGGAGAGCACCTCTAGCGCTCGCATGTAGTTCTGCATCAGCTCTCCATCACTTCCTGTCCCACTGCCGGGCAACACACCACCACCAGCACCAGCGCCATCACCACCGTTGCCTACACCTGACATCGATACACCTGCTGCTGCCTGCCGTCACCAACCAACGCGCGACCTTTGAGCGCAGAGTGAGAGCGTGAGCGCGAGCGTGAGCGCGTGAGCGTGAGCGTGAGCGCGAGCGAGAGCGAGAGCGTGAGCGTGAGCGAGAGTGAGAGTGAGAGCGAGAGCAAGAGCCTGAACGAGAGCAAGAGCAAGAGCCAGTGCAAGTGCAGGAGCAACTACGACCTTTGTTGGCTCGGTCGGCCTCTGAGCTCTGTTGCGGGGGGGGGAGCGACAGAGCAGAGAGATAGATAGAGAGGGATGGAGAGGGGGAGAGGGAGGGAGAGGGAGAGGACTGTAGTATGTATATATGTGTGTGGTGGAGGAGTGGTGGAGGGGGAGGAGTGGTGGTGGTGATGGGTGGTGGTGGGGGTAGGGAGGTGGGGTGGGTGGTGGTGGTGGTGGTGATGGGGGGAGGGTCAGTCACTCTCTCAGCTCAGACAGAGAGGTTTGGCACGACATGGTGTGTTTAAGGGCAACCGGCTCAGGGCGAGTGAACGAGATCGGGATCGATATATCGCGTGTGATGGTGATGGGCATGGGCATGGGAATGGGCATGGGTATGGGCATGGGCATGGGTATGGGTATGGGTATGGGCATGGGCATGGGGGCAGCGAGGTTGGACGATGGGGCGAGTGGCCAAGGAGTGACGGACGACCGATTGATGATGACTGAAGTGACGGCGGGCGACGGCACAACGGCCACGAGTTGCCGTCGCAGTCGCAGTCTGCTACACTCGACTGCAGAAAAAGGCCAGGAATGTCTGCGACACGTGAGGAGGCTACCGAGTATGTGAAGATCCCCTCGGGCGATGGCGAGCGGGAGAACTGGAAGCGGCTGATTGTTGTCATTGAGGATGCCAATCTGCAGACCATCAAGGTCGGTGGCTCAAAGGGGGCCTCCTTTGCCCTCATGAACTCGGACGACCATCGTGCTTGGCTCTCGCGCAACAACATCGACGTCAATCTTGCACGCCCAGACATCACACACCAGGTATGTACACTCTCTTGCTCACCTCACCGCCCACTTTCTTTGCCTTTCTCGTCCACGCCTCGGTGGGGCGAGGCCCCAGACTGAGGCGAGTTGGCCCATCCTGTGGGATCGCCGCCATCCTTTGGGGCCATCCTGCCCGGGGGCGGGAGGGTGGCGACGGAGGGGGCAGGTATGGGGAAAGGACGGGAGACTCACAGGTGGAAATGGTGACAGTGTCTGCTTATGCTCCTGGACTCGCCGCTGAACAAGGCGGGGATGCTGCAGATCTTCATCCGGACCAACAAGAATGTGCTCATCGAGGTCAACCCGCACACCCGCATCCCGCGGACCTTCAAGCGCTTCTCCGGACTCATGGTCCAGCTGCTGCACAAGCTCTCCATCCGGGCTGCCAACGGACCGACCAAGCTGCTCAAGGTGATCAAGAACCCGGTGACCAAGTACTTTCCCACCGGCTGCCGCCGCATCGGCACCTCGACAGAGGGCAAGATGGTCAAGCTCGGCGAGTACGTCGCCTCGCTGCCCGAGGACGAGCCCGTCGTCTTTGTCGTCGGCGGCATTGCCCGTGGCCAGGTCAACCCGGACTACGTCACCGAGACCATTGCTATCTCCGAGTTCCCGCTCTCCGCCGCTGGCGTTTGCTCCAAGATCTGCACCGCCTTTGAGGCCAAGTGGGACGTGCTGTAAGGTACTTTCGCTGCCACTGCTACGCCTTGCCTAGCCGCTGCTCCAGCGCTGCCAGTCGGGCTGCCCGCATTTCCTCCACGGTTGGTGGCTGGACCGCTGCTGGAGCCGGCGCCGCGGCGGGTACCGCGCCTGCGTCGCTGGCCTGAGCGGGAGCTGCACCGCTTGATCCGGCGCCCGTCTCGCCGAGCCGGTAGCCGTGGCCGGCAAAGGCGTCATCGCTGACACTGCTGCTGCCGCTACCGCTGCTGCTGCTACTGTCGTTGCCGCTATCGTTGTCGACGTGAGCTGTGGCGCCAATAACACGGACAGGCTCGTGCGAGGCGGGTGGGAGCGGGGCTGGGTCGGGCGCTTGGAGCGCAGCGGCACCGAGGTCGACGTCAAAGCCCGAGTCGGCGACGAGGTCGACTTCGACGTCGGTGTCGATGATGCACACACCCTCGTAGTGGGTCTTGTCGTTGGGCAAGACGGCAACAACCAAGAGATGGAACTCGAGACCTCCGAGCTCGAGGCGGATCGAGTCGCCGACGGTGAGAGTGGCAAAGCCGCGGAAGAGCGTCTCCAGCTTGGTCTTTTGGTCGTAGAGTTTGAGAAAGAGCGGATTGTCAACCTTGATCTTGACGTACTCAGCCCGCGGCAGAGCGACGCGACGGATGCTGACTATGTCATCCTCGTCCAGCCCCAGCTGGTCCATCCGCCACCGCGGCGCGTACATGATGTCGGGCTCTTCGGTAAACTCGAGGACTGAGCAGTGTGTGTAGCGCCCGTCGGAGTCGTTGGTGAGCCGGAAGATCCACGGCATGTGGTCGGGCTCGTTCTCGCCCTCCAGCACGTGCAGTACATCTTCTGGAAGCAAGACCTTGCCACCGGACTCGAGCTCCGGACGCGCCCGTAGGGCTACTGACCGAATGCGGAGCGTGCTTTCGTACTTGCGCGCAGCGCGGTGCCGCGCCATAGCATCTGCCAGCGCCTGCGCCATTGACGCCTCCACCGCATCGCGGTTGAGCGGCGTGTCGTCGTACGGCGCTGCCGGAGGCGGAATGTACCGCGCCGGCATCGTTGGGTGAAAGTCGGGAAACGGATCGGCGAGTCGCGGCAGACCTGCAGGAGTCAGCAGCGACGACGGCGGCGGTGGTCTGGGCTCATCGTCGTCCATCATCGACATGGCCAACGCTTGAGCCAAGTCTCGGTCAACCTCAGGATCGGAGACTGCGGCCGGCGGCGGCGGCGAGTGCGACAGAGCGGTAGGCTCGGAGGGAGTGTCAGCCATTGAGAGCGAGGTGGCCATGGCAAGCTGCAGCTGCTCGTCTTCAGAGAGTCCCGGGATGCCGATGGTAGTACCCGAAGCGACCAGTGCCTCGGCCTCGGCGGCGGAGGCGTGCAAGGCCAGCCGCAGCTGCTCTTCCTCGTCGAGCGTATCTGGCGCTGGTACGGTGACCAGCGGGCTGACGCCTCGACGTTGGACTGACGACGATGGAGGCGAAACCTTTGCCAACGACTCTGCTAGCGCCATCTCGAGGGCGACGTCCTCGGACACGCCGGACAAGACCAGGGCATCAGCGGCGGCAGCCTCGGCGCGGGCGTGCTTCTCGGCCACGCGACGGACCCGATCCTCGGCGGCAGCAACCGCCCGAGCTCGCGCACTCTGCCCTGAGCTCGGCGAAGGCTGAGGCCGGCGACGAGAGCCTCCACTGATGTTGGTGGAGGTGGGAGGAGCAAAGCGGTGCTCAAGACGCTTGACAGCGGCGGCGCGGGCGCGGGCCTTCATGGCCTCGTTTCGGCGCTTAGAGTCATCGTACTCGAGAGAACGCGCAGTAAAGAAGGAGCCCCGCCCTGGAGTTGTGGTAAAGTAGGCGATGCCGTCGACCGATCCGTTGTTCTTGCCCAGCCCGGCGCCATCGAGCTCGACGCCCACCATCACGCCCTCAGTAAAGTGTGTTCTTCCCACAAACCTGACCACGCCACGCCGGTTGTCTACACGGACCCGTACACGATCCCCCGACGAAAGACAGACTCCATGACACGGCGCACGGGCTCAAACGACGACAGAGAGACAGGGTGGTTGGTGATGGGACGAGGTAAGCGACAGGCGACAGGTGTGCCTGCTTGCCGTGTGCTGCCTGTTGACGGACCGGTGCCGAGTGGGCGGAGGCAGAGCGAGTGCCGGGTCGCATTGTTTGAGTTGGGCGGGCGAGCGGGGCGGGGGGGCAGAGAATGGAGAAGAGGAGGAGGAAGGGGGGGGGGTGTGGGTTACATGCTTTACAGGTCGTTCTGGACGACAAAGACTTGGCCGTCCGAGATGGTGACACCGTAGGCGACATCGTCAAAGGTGATGGTCACCTTCCGCAGCTTGTCCTCGGCGTTGGTGCCGGACATCAGGAGCGCGGCGTTGTTGAGCAGAGCCACAACGGCCTTGGCCACCTCGGTGTTGTCTTCCAGGCTGCCTTTGGACTGTGCGTTCCACCGCCGCCACAATCGCACATTGTTGCATCGCAGCGCTGTGAGTCTCTTCTGCCACACACACTTCCACCCCCGCCACTCCCGCCACCCCCATCCTCCCTCTCTGCACCACGACACTGCGAAAGGGGCCCAGCCAGACTATGGCCAGGCCAAATTCTGAAGTCCAGATCACTACCACCACACACACCACAAGGCGACCCCCACGCGATGGTTCGAGATGGACGAGATGGACGAGATGGACGAGATGGACGAGATGGACAACATGGGTAGGCCTGAAACGGGAGAGATAGAGACCACATCCACTCACCGCCGTAATGATGGATACAGGCCAATGCAGCTCTTTCAACCTGATCCCATCGAGCAGATCGCATGCGAGCAGACTGTCTCTCTGTCCATGTCCATGTCCATGTCCATGTCTACGTCCATTCTTTCGCCACGTGACGTAGGTCATCCCAGGACAGAGGGGATGGGTGGAAGAGGGGTACCGCGGTAAGGGGGATAGCCAAGGACACTACAGCCAAAACCATTGGGTATACCCAAGCCCAACCATCCCGACCACCACCCCTGTCTTGTTCTCAATATACTATGTGTGTACATACCGCCACAATGCTCCCGTTGGCCTCGCACACCAGCGCACCCGCCGCCTGCACAGCGTCCACAAACTCGGCCTACACAGGGCAGGCAACAAGCAGAAGGGGGGGGGGGGGGGAGTGAGTGAGGGAAAGGGAGGAGGGAGGGGATGGATGGATGGATGGTGGTGGTGGTGGTGGTGGTGGTGGTGGTGGTGGGGCGTACCATTGATCTCTGTGTGGTGAGGTGGTGGGCCTTTGTCTTGGGGGTGACGGACCTGTGAGCTGTAGCGGCGAGGGGAGGCGACCGAGTAGGGAGGCCATGGCATGGCTGCCGAGGCCGATGCCGATGCCGATGCCGATGCCGATGCCGATGCCGATGCCGATGCCGATGCCGATGCCGATGCCCATGCCGATGCCGATGCCCATGCCCATGCCGATGCCGATGCCCATGCCGATGCCCATGCCGATGCCGATGCCGGTTTAGAAAAGTCAGAACTACTTGTCTGCGATTATGATGACAATGACAATGAGGATGATGGTGACGATGAGATGTCGATGACTATGAGACTTTGTTCAAGACCACGATCACCATCTCGACCACAATCGCAACAACCACGACGACGACGACGACCACCACCACCATCACCACCATCACCACCATCACCATCGGCATGCGTACGTCTGCAGCAAAGGCGGCCGATGTCGTCGGCAAGTACCACGACACACACCATAGCATCGATGACCCACAAGGTCTTCACATCCACCCACCTGACCAGGTCCCATCCCTCTGTGCTAGGAACTCATCATCGGCTCGAGTCGCGGGCGTGTCGGGCGGCACGAGCAGTTAGCTTTGGAGGGGGAAAGCGTGCGTGCAGGGAAGGCGACCATGACGACATCGTCGCCTTTGCACACCACACTTTCTCTTTCCCTCCCAGAAAACCATAGACATATGCATATGCGCAACTGTGTCATGTGGGCAGCTGTTGCAGTGGTGACCATGGTGGTGCTTGTGCTGGAGAGCGAGGGCGTGAGCATCGAGGCTTACGGAGCGGTGGAGGGCAAGGCGAGCAACGAGGCGGCATGGAGCAACGCACGGGCGGTGATGGCGACAGCCAAGGCGGTGAATGAGGGCGTGCATGGAAGTGATCGTGTGGTGGAAGTGCCGGCAGGTGGGACCTTCTACATCTTCAATGCCACCATGAGCGGCCTCAAGGACGTGACCTTTGTCATCGATGGCACCCTCGTGGTCTCCAACAACATCTCGGCCTGGCAGGACATCGCCAACAAGCCGTCAACTGGCGTGCTCGAGGTCACCGACTCGACCAACATCACCTTTACCGGGGCAGGACTCATCGATGGCCAGGGCTACGACTTTTGGTGGTGGGTCATCATCACTGGCAAGGACTTTCGCCCCAACCTCGTCAACATCTACCGGACGTCGGGCGTGACGGTGACCGAGCTGCACGTTCGCAACTCACCGCAGTACCACTGGAACATCCGGTATGTGGAGGATGTGTACATTGACAACATCAACGTGTATGTCGACGTCGAGGCCCAGAAGGCTGCACTGGCGGTCGGCGGCAAGCTGCTAACCGTGCATCCAGAGCATCCCGAGTGGGACATCCCGGTCTTTCCGCTCAACACCGACGGCATCGACATTGCCGGCATTCGCGTCGTCATCCAGAACTCGCACATAACCAACTACGACGACGCCATTGCGGTCAAGCCGATCTACACTGGCGAGTCGCCGTTCTCGTCGTGCTCGCAGGACATGTACGTCTACAACATGTCGGTCGTTGTGGGCGTCGGCATGAGCATCGGCTCTGTCCCTCCCGCGGTCGGCACCAACTGCGTCCGCAACATCACCTTTGACACCGTCACCTTTAAGGACCCGACCAAGGCCATCTACATCAAACCAATCCGGGCACGGTTGGCGACGGCATCATCGATGGCATCACCTACCGCAACCTGCATGTGTCTGGCGACCTGTGGTACCCGATCTGGATTGGCCCGCAGCAGCAGGACCAGCCGCACTCGGGCCCGCCGCCGCCGCGTGCTACGCTCACCGGCCCGGCCAACACCGGATGCTCGTTCTTCTACCCCATCGACCCGGTGTGCCCGACCCAGCCTCGCGTCCCGATCACTAACGTCGTTGTCGACTCGTTCACCGCCGACAAGACCCTCATGCTCCCGGGTGTTATCCTCTGCAACGCCACCAAGCCGTGCTCCGGCCTTTCCTTCTCCTCTGTCGCCATCACCGGTGACTTTGTGGTTCAGCCCGACTGGTCATGCCACAACGCCGACGTTGTCCAGACCCAGACAACGCCGGCCATCAAGTGCGACAACAGCGCGTCTACCCACACCCCAAACCCGGTCCTGCCCATCCCCATTACCGGCGACATCATGGCTGACTACGTTGCATGGATACGTGCAGCCCGCCTTGCGAGCATGTAGACCGTCATCCTAAAGACCAGACCATCTCCCCGCATCGCTCCACCTGGCTGCGTCGCGGACGTCGCATGGCGCCGGCACAGGCGGCAACCGGGGGAGGGAACAGCAGACGGCGGGCACACCTCTCTACAGACGATATCTCACGAAAATGAAGGTGGCCAAGGTGACCGACGTGGTTCTGTGCGTAGTTGTAGCGGTGTACATTGCGGTGGCTGCGGTGTCTGCGGCGGTGGCGGCGCCGGAGAGCGGAGCGTGCACCGCTTGCCTGGCGCTGTGGACGGAGCTGCGCCACGATGTCGGGTGCGGGAATGCTGTCAATGACACGGGCGCGCTGTGCAAGCTCTGTCCCGAGTCGATCTGTGGGACGCCAGCCCATTGTCAGACCATTGTCGATGAGGTTTGTGCTGCTGGCTGTGCCGATGATCCCGACCAGTGTGCCTACCTCGCTTGCTCCAAGCTCCTCCACATCTGTCCGGTCAACGCCTCACGCCCCATCCTCCCCTAATCTGTCTCTTCTCTTCCCGGGCTCAAGCTGTAGCCACCGGTCGGTGTTGGATTGCATGAGGCCCAGGCATATGCCTTGAGATCTGTGTCCTGTGGTCCGTTGCGATTCCACTCCCCCCCCATGCATCCACGCCCTCCCTGCCGCAGTTGCCGTGCCCTTCTGATCCACCCAGCATATCATCATCTACATAACAATATCTTCATCCATGCCACCCATCAGCCCAACGATGCTATGATCCACCCCCCACCCCGCCATCCCCGCCGTGTCTGCCGGCCCTGCCGTCCTTCCCGTGCCTGCCTTCCCCGTCGTGCCTGCCTTCCCTGTCGACCACCAACCGTTGCCTGACCACCTCAACAGCCCCCCCCCCCCCCACG